GCCGGGGGGCCCCGCCTCTCTCTTGCTATCTTCGCAGTTAGCGACACCTGCTGGCCGGTAGAGGGTAGAGCGCAGCTGACGGCCAAAGGACCGTGACGTCACCAGGGCGCCATGTTGCAGTTGGCTGACCCGCTTGTCAACATCGACGCAACGCGTCTGTACAGCCGCCAACTTGTGGTTGGCAGGTCAGCGCTTTCTCTGGCGCCAACCTCTCAGGCCGCGGACACTGTCCCACGTGACACCTATAAAAGTGAAAAAACATGTTGGAGGATCTCCTATAGTAACCATAATAATCAATGAAAAATATATATATTTAGTTTTAGATGGAAGGGGGGGGGGGATTTAAACATCTGCCCCTGTCCTTGTTTGGGAGATTTCCCTCCGACTTCCTGTCTGGACAGGAAGGGATGGAAACACATTTTCAGTGTTGAAGGTCTGGCGATGCTTTTTTTTTGCTCGCTTTGACCTGCTGACACAAGAACAGGAAGTGAGGGAAAATCTCCTCTGTGGGGGTCACCGCCACATAAACCGGACAAATATTTTAACTCCAAAACCGAAAAGAAATGCCCGGAGTCGGCCGACTTTAACATTACTGTTTAGAAAATGGCCAACCCTGCAGCATGGGGGGGGCTGCCAGAAAATTCAATTTGCCTGGCCGTTATGGTCATCCTCTAGCTTCAGCTCTGTTACTGCAGGCAGGAAACTGTCAGAGTAAAAGTCAGCCGCCCTCATTTGTGTGTTTATTCCAGGTCAGCAACTTGCAGTACAGAAGCAAAAGGATCAGCATGACAGCCAGACAAGTAGGACAATGGCAGCCCTCTATTTGTATCAGCCGTCTGTGTCTCTGTCTGCCCCTAGATGGCGATGGCAGGATTCCTGCAGAAGTCAGTCTGAGCATGCTCGGGAAGTCTTGCCCACACTTGTTCTGGCTTCATTGCCCACAGGAAGCGAAACAGACGTCACTTCCTGTTTCTGACCTCTGCTACCAGCGAGCTGCTGCAGAGCCAGGTGAGCATGCTTTGCACACACTGGACCTGTTCCGGGGTCACTCCGAGAGCGAGGGAGGAATTATACACCTATGGGGGGTGGGGGTCACCTGCAGCCCTATGTGCTGGGACTTGTAGTTCTTGGGAAATAAGACTGGCACTTGAGAAATAACATTTTCAGTAAAATTTGGGTTTGCCCTCCATGTGACAGCACATTAGAGGTGACAGGTTAGGGGTCCATTAGACCGCTGCTGTCACCTGAAGGTGATCAAGCACAGATCAGCTTCATCCCCGGCCGCCAGTGTGATGCATTCCCTTTAATACTGGTTGTAAGAACAAGTGTGTAATAAAGTTTTGTTTGCAGGTTTTGCCGAGATGCTGCAGTGTCTCCGTGGGAAGACTCTCCCCCTAACCGTGCAGGTAAGAGGACACTACTGGAAGAGGGTCAGAGACTGCGCACACGCTACGGGAGACTTGCAGAGACTGCGCACACGCTGCGGGTGAGGGGCAGAGGCTGCGGGTGAGAGGCTGCGCACAAGCTGCGGGAGAGGGGCAGAGACTGTGCACAAGCTGCGGGAGACGGCCAGAGACTGTGCACAAGCTGCGGGAGACGGCCAGAGACTGCGCATGCTCTGCAGGAGATTTCAGAGACTGCGCACGTGCTGCAGGAGACGGTCAAAGACTGCAGACACTCTACACGCCCTGCTGGAGACGGCCAGGGACTGTGAAGTGCAGCGGGAGACTTTCAAAGACTGCGCGCGCGCTACAGGAGACGGCCAGAGACTGCGCACATGCGGTGGGAGACGGCCAGAGACTGCGCACGTGCTGCGGGAGTCAGTCAGATACTGCGCAGGCGCTGCGGGAGACGATCAGAGACTGCAGACACGGATAAATCTTTCCGGCTGATATTCTTTTCTTGCAGTTATTGAAGGAGATCTCCCCGGTATGCAGACGATGTTTCTTCTCTCCAGTGGCGGTCAGACTCTACCACAGGCCTCCAACCTCCAGGCCGGTCCCCATGTTGACTCTCACATCCTTCAATCTCAGCGGGAAGCTCGGCCTTCACACATCCAGCCAGCGGCAGAGGAGGAACAGGGAGGTCAGGGAAAGCGTTCTCATCACCACCGCGCAGCGTCACTGGCAGGAGATGAAGAAGACCCCAAAACCGGCGTTCTTTCTGGGGGTCGCCGGGGCCGTGCCCTTCGTGGCCCCGCCCCTCGCCATGTGCTTCATGCACGTCTACTACCCGGGACTGGCCACAGCACAGGTCCTCTACGGGGCATGCATCCTCTCCTTCCTCGGGGGGGTTCGCTGGGGTTACACCCTGCCGGACGACGGCCCCCACCGGCCCAACTGGGTTAACCTGGTGACCGGCGCCGTGATCCCGTACATGGCGTTCATGAGCCTGCTGCTGATGGATAGTATACACACGTCCGTGATGGGGCTGGGGATGGGATTCGGCATCGCTATGGCGGTGGACGTTCTGGGGGCGAAGGATCTGGACTTGGCCCCTGTAGGGCCCCTCTGGTATAAGTGGCTGAGAAGTCTGCTGACAGTCATTGTTCTGGCCTCCTTATTGGCCACGCTGGGATGTGCGAGCCGCTATCCCGAAATTCCGACGGACAACCAAATGGCACCGAAAAAACTGGAGATGAATCGGGAATCATTGTTCCGCCCTTAGAAGAAAGACGCCACCCCCGCCCCCCTCTCATCAATACGATAATGACATTGTTCAATAAAACCGTTCTGTTTTCATTGCAGATCTTATTTTAGTCCCGGTGATGTCATCGCTGCGTCTCTGTGCTTCTCTGTACAATGCAGGCAGATCATGGCTGGTGGGAGGAGCCGTCAGGGTGCTGTACGTAGCTTCCTGTAAACATCACAGCACCCTGCCTCAGTACTCCTCATAAGAGTCCTCAGCCCTGATGCAAGCAGTGGGCGGGCTCTTGGGAGGAGTTATGCAAATATCAAAATGCCTTGATGGGTGGGGATCATTATGGAGCAGCGGGCGTTCCACTATATTTGCATACAGACCTCCCTAGGTCACGCCCACATGTGATTCTGAGCCTCCATGATTGAAAGCACTGAAATCCAATGAACGAAAAGGGGCGGAGCCAGGTACAGTTAGGCTGGGGAGGAAGAAGGGCAACAGTTTCAGTAGCGTTATCCCTCTTCTGCTTCTCCATTGGTTGTCTCCTGACAGGCTGGGGGAGGGACAAGACCCGGTATCCTTTCCCCTTCATAGGCAAAGCTGATCCTCAGCCCATCCTCCGCTCCGGAGTTATTTACTGCCATCCGCATGCCTCTCCGATATAATCCGCTTTATTACATACAAAATCTCGTCACAATATCGACATTGTCAGATATTTTTACACTTTCCATTAAAATAAATAACAATGAGATCTCGTCGTTCTATGGTTATCATGTTACTGTTTTCTGGAAGTTGCCATGACAGGTGGACAGGTCTCTGGACGCAGGAAGTGACCTGTATCAGGTTTGTGGGGGTGACCCGGGGTGTCACGGTCCCGGGAGATGAGAGGGAATCTTCCTACAGACCATATACAAAGTATTCCAGCAGCCAATCAGAGACTTCTACCCGTCAGATTCGGCCCTCGCTGGGAACGTCAGAACCGCATTTCTGAAGGTCGATAAATGTTTACGGCCCCCCAATCATCAGTTCTCCAGGTCATCCACCAACGATTTTAGGGTTATTGTCCCCTGGGGATCTCTGACTGGTTTGGGGGGCTGTGGAAAATAATTAGGGATGCACCTATACCGGGTTTCCCGTATCATCTCGGCACGTACAGTGTACGTGGCCAGTCATATAGCCACTTTGTGACGGGACGTACACTGTACGTCTCCCGTCACGAAGGGGTTAAGGAAGACAGGCGTCGTGTAACGACTCGCCACCCGGTGTCCCGATTAGCAAGGAAGCAGTTCCCATGCTTCTCATCACTAGGTGACGAGAAAGCATGGAGCCGGCTTTCTGGCCAATCAGGAAGCTGGGCGCCGTGTAATACCGTCCTTTAAACTCAATTCTCAAAAAATCGTCATCTTTAACTTACCTGGCCCTGGACCAGGGATGGATATCTGAAGATGTTGCTGAGTGGCTTTACAACATACATGCTCGCACACCAGTAATATACGGTCTTCCAAAGATACACAAGGGGATATAATCCATTATCCTTTAGGCCCATTGTGGCCGGGACCAGCTCGGCATTACAACCATTAGCCATGTTATTGGATCACTTTTTACAACCAATGGTGAAAGCCCTCCACTCATATACCCGTGACACAAGCGACTTCATTGAGAAATTGAGAAATATTAACAACATGCATCCTGGATGGATACTATTAACCATGGATATATCTGCACTATATACCTGTATCCCCACGGAAGGGGGATTACAGGCGGCGGAATATTTCCTAACTCAAAGAGAGATAACATCACCGCCAACATCCTTTATACTAGAAGGATTAAGAATGATACTTGAAAACAACTATTTCCGGTTTGAAAAACAGTATTTCCTCCAGATAAAAGGCACTGCAATGGGGTGCTCAGTTGCCCCCTCTTATGCAAATCTATTCATAGGCTACCTCGAGGAATGCTTCATCTACCGCTGTGAATTGTTTGAACACGTGAGACTGTGGACAAGATACATAGACGATATATTTGTAATATGGTCAGGATCTATTACAGATGTACAAAATTTTTCCGAATACCTTAATACGCTAGCTGAGGGCATTGTTTTTAATCCAGAGATGTCACATTCCGAGATTGCATTTTTGGATGTAATGGTAACAAACAACCAAGGAATACTTACAACTTCATTATATACCAAGCCAACAGATCGCAATACGTTGTTGTCCTACAGCAGTGCACACCCGGATGGACTGAGGGATTCATTACCTATCTCTCAGTTCATTCGGGTCATGCGCATTTGCTCCGATACCACTGATTGTGAAACAGAATTACAAAAGATGTCTGACAAATTTAGGGACAGAGGTTACCCTGAACATATACTTAGACATACTCTGGAGGTAGCCAGGGATAGGTTTTGTACCCCTAGACCCAAGGAGACACGGCCAAAAGACACACTGCTTGTAACTAAATGTAATCACTACTCATACCAGGTAAAACGCACGATACAACGCAACATGAATATTTTGAGAGCAGACAGGACTCTTGTTCCTATCGTTAAACAAACACCTCGAGTAGTTCATTCGGGAAACAAATCCCTACGGGACTACCTAGTCTGTGCTGACCCGCACTCTAAATATGCCACTATACCATACAAAATATCTACTAGACAAGGATGCTACAGATGCCATAATTGTAGCATCTGTAATTCCCTTATCATCGGGGAATCATTTTTTCATCCACATACGGGGAGGAAATACCCAATCCACAGTTATTTGAACTGTGTGTCCGATTACTGCGTATACATACTGAAATGTCCCTGTTCATTAGTCTATGTGGGAAAAACCATTAATGTGTTTAAAAAACGATACCAAAAACATAAAAGTGACATTAAATTAGTAATTGAACAAAAAAGACTAGGAAAAGATATGGACCCGAATTTATTAAACAATTCCTAACCATCTATCTAAGTCTCTTACTACTTTATCCTTATTCCTGATACCCGCTTTCCCATATAGATTTCGATTCAAATGCTGTATGGGATTATATTATTTCCCCGCTCTGAGGTTATGGTGCTGTGCCTGTGTAATGCTAATAGCTGTACGCTTGCTCTTTCCACACTCTGCCGATACTCCGGCTGGCGCATGCGCACTAGAATCGTGGAGAATTGTATCTCCCCATCCACTGGTTACGAATGACGTCTATCATATGCGTCTAACCAGGACAGAAGGCGATGCTGTGTATATCACAGAAGGACACCGGATCGCAACTCTGCCTCACACTCTTCACATCCTTAGCAGATCGCCATGATGACTGACATTACACCGCCACAGCCATCATTCTTAACCTCAGACTGGAGGCAACAAACAGTGAGTAACATAGATAGTATATATGTGTTTTTTAAACATGTTTTTGTAATTTAAATATGGCGTTTTTTCCCGCCATTCTGACATCACTGGGGGGGTGTCTATTGATAATTGGTTCACATTATGGGGTATATATGTGGTGTGTGGACACCATCACATTGTCACATCTTTTGCCCTGAGGAAGGGACCCTGCGTGGCCCCGAAACGTTGGCTGTTTGACTATTGTGACACGTATGTCCAATAAAAAGGACTTATTTATTTGAAATCAATCTGAGTGCTGGTAACCTATTCTTTCTACAGAAACAGGAAGTGACATCTGTTTCACTTCCTGTGGGCAATGAAGCCAGAACAAGTGTGGGCAAGACTTCCCGAGCATGCTCAGACTGACTTCTGCTGGAATCCTGTCTTAGCCATCCGGGCAGAAAGAGACACAGACAGCTGATAGAAATAGAGGGCTGCCATTGTCCCATTGGCTGTTTGACTATTGTGACACGTATGTCCAATAAAAAGGACTTATTTATTTGAAATCAATCTGAGTGCTGGTAACCTATTCTTTCTACTTTGTGCATTGCACGGTGCCATCCGTGGGAGTTACTGCAAGCACCTTATCTCTACTGGCCGGGACTGCTGAAAGGTGTGCGGAGAGCACCCTCACCAATTACAACTTCCTGTTTCTGAACTCCGCTACCAGCGAGCTGCTGCAGAGCCAGGTGAGCATGCTTTGCACACGCTGGACCTGTTCCGGGTTCCCTCTGAGACTGAGTGAGGGAGGAATTATACATCTATGGGGGGTGGGGGGTCACCTGCAGCCCTATGTGCTGGGACTTGTAGTTCTTGGGAAATAAGACTGGCACTTGAGAAATAACATTTTCAGTAAAATTTGGGTTTGCCCTCCATGTGACAGCACATTAGAGGTGACAGGTTAGGGGTCCATTAGACCGCTGCTGTCACCTGTGTATCCCAGTGAAGGTGATGAAGCAAAGATCAGCTTCATCCCCGCCACCGGCTCCCCAGTGTGATGCATTCCCTTTAATGCTGGTTGTAAGAACAAGTGTGTAATAAAGTTTTGTTTGCAGGTTTTGCCGAGATGCTGCAGTGTCTCCGTGGGAAGACTCTCCCCCTAACCGTGCAGGTAAGAGGACACTACTGGGGGTCAGAGACTGCGCACACGCTACGGGAGACTTGCAGATACTGTGCACACGCTGCGGGAGAGGGGCAGAGGCTGCGCAGGCGCTGCGGGTGAGGGGCAGAGGCTGCGCAGGCGCTACGGGAGAGGGGCAAAGGCTGCGCAGGCGCTGCGGTAGAGGGGCAGATGCTGCGCAGGCGCTGCGGGAGACGGCCAGAGGCTGCGCAGGGGCTGCGGGAGAGGGGCAGAGACACGGAGAAATCTTCCCGGCTGATATTCTTTTCTTCTTGCAGTTATTGAAGATCTCCCCGGTATGCAGACGATGTTTCTTCTCTCCAGTGGCGGTCAGACTCTACCACAGGCCTCCAACCTCCAGGCCGGTCCCGATGTTGACTCTCTCTGCCTTCAATCTCAGCGGGAGGCTCGGCCTTCACACATCCAGCCAGAGGGACAGGGAAGTCAGGGAAAGCGTTCTCATCACCACCGTGCAGCGTCACTGGCAAGAAATGAAGAAGACCCCAAAACCGGCGTTCGTTCTGGGGGTCGCCGGGGCCGTGCCCTTCGTGGCCCCGCCCCTCGCCATGTGCTTCATGCACGTCTACTACCCGGGACTGGCCACAGCACAGGTCCTCTACGGGGCATGCATCCTCTCCTTCCTCGGGGGGGTTCGCTGGGGTTACACCCTGCCGGACGCCGGCCCCCACCGGCCCAACTGGGCTAACCTGGTGACCGGCGCCGTGATCCCGTCCATGGCGTTCATGAGCCTGCTGCTGATGGATAGTATACACACGGCCGTGATGGGGCTGGGGATGGGATTCGGCATCGCTATGGCGGTGGACGTTCTGGGGGCGAAGGATCTAGACTTGGCCCCTTTAGGGCCCCTCTGGTATAAGTGGCTGAGAAGTCTGCTAACGGTCATTGTTCTGGCGTCCTTATTGACCACGCTGAGATGTGCGAGCCGCTATCCCGAAACGCGGCCAATCAGAACGCAGCAACGAAAAAACTGGAGATGAATCGGGAATCGTTGTTCCGTCCTTAGAAAAAAAAAAAAACACCGGCCAGCAATGGGGGCAATATTGAAGATGAAGGTTAATCTGCTTATAGTTTGCCTTCTCTGGTTCCCCCCCCCCTCATCATTGTTCAATAAAACCGTTCTGATTTCATTGCAGATCCTATTTTAGTCCCGTAATGTCATCACTGGGTCTCTATGTTTCTCTGTACAATGCAGGCAGATCATGGCTGGTGGGAGGAGCCGTCAGGGTGCTGTACGTAGCTTCCTGTAAACATCACAGCACCCTGCCTCAGTACTCCTCATAAGAGTCCTCAGCCCTGATGCAAGCAGTGGGCGGGCTCTTGGGAGGAGTTATGCAAATATCAAAATGCCTTGATGGGTGGGGATCATTATGGAGAAGTGGGCGTTACACTTTATTTGCATACAGACCTCCCTTGGACTTAAACAAGCTGTGGGCCCATGAGCGAGGTCGTGGAGTCCTTTCCCCTTCATATGTACAGCTGATCCTCAGCCCATCCCCCGGTCCGGAGACATTTACTTTCACTCACATATTTCTCCGATATAATCCGATTTATTACATACAAAATATCATCACAATATCAGCGTTTACAAATATTTTTACACTTTTCATTAAAATAAATAACAATGAGATCTCGTCGTTCTATGGTTATCATGTTACTGTTTTCTGGAAGTTGCCATGACAGGTGGACAGGTCTCAGGATGCAGGAAGTGACCTGTATCAGGTTTGTCGGGGTCACCCGGGGTGTCACGGTCCCGGGAGACGAGAGGGAATCTTCCTACAGACCATATACAATGTATTCCAGCAGCCAATCAGAGACTTCTACCCGTCAGATTCGGCCCTCGCTGGAAACGTTAGAGCCGCATTTCTGAAGGTCGATAAATGTTACGGTCCCCCGATCATCAGTTCTGGGACTTTCCCCTCCTCCAGTATATGGGCTGGGGACTTAATACACAAGGTGCTCTATTTATAACCAATCAGTAGAGACATTCTCTCTACGAATATTTCCGAATGTTTATTCTGTGTGATCAGACACAAAAACGAATGTTCTTAGTATAGCTTCAGATCGAATCAGTGTAATGTAATAGCACATTACGGCCACTAGATGGAGCTGAGACGCACGGGAAAGAAGTTTAATTTTGTAACAATGTATCTATTGTGTATCAAGCAATATGTGAAATAGAAGCTTTGCTGCACTCCTTACCTTATAGCTCCTTATAGGGAGCTGCAGCTCGCGGTATACTGAGACGCCGGAGCGGATCCCGACATCGATGTCGAGATCCGCCCTGCTGCGTGAGTGACAGCTGGCTCTGCCTATCTAGAGGCAGAGCCAGCTGTAGCCTCCCCCATCCGTTCCGCCAGTCAGCGCTGGAGGATCGGAGCGGGGAATCCAGCCCCTCCCCTGTCACGGCAGAGAGCTGTGACAGGTTCGAGAAGTGAGCGAACGCCGGTATGTGTTCGCTCACTTCCCGATCTACTGAGCCGACCTGTGACAGTCTCATTGTCACAGGTCGGCTAGAACTATGTTTTCATTAAAATAAATAACAATGAGATCTCGTCGTTCTATGGTTATCATGTTACTGTTTTCTGGAAGTTGCCATGACAGGTGGACAGGTCTCAGGATGCAGGAAGTGACCTGTATCAGGTTTGTCGGGGTCACCCGGGGTGTCACGGTCCCGGGAGACGAGAGGGAATCTTCCTACAGACCATATACAATGTATTCCAGCAGCCAATCAGAGACTTCTACCCGTCAGATTCGGCCCTCGCTGGAAACGTTAGAGCCGCATTTCTGAAGGTCGATAAATGTTACGGTCCCCCGATCATCAGTTCTGGGACTTTCCCCTCCTCCAGTATATGGGCTGGGGACTTAATACACAAGGTGCTCTATTTATAACCAATCAGTAGAGACATTCTCTCTACGAATATTTCCGAATGTTTATTCTGTGTGATCAGACACAAAAACGAATGTTCTTAGTATAGCTTCAGATCGAATCAGTGTAATGTAATAGCACATTACGGCCACTAGATGGAGCTGAGACGCACGGGAAAGAAGTTTAATTTTGTAACAATGTATCTATTGTGTATCAAGCAATATGTGAAATAGAAGCTTTGCTGCACTCCTTACCTTATAGCTCCTTATAGGGAGCTGCAGCTCGCGGTATACTGAGACGCCGGAGCGGATCCCGACATCGATGTCGAGATCCGCCCTGCTGCGTGAGTGACAGCTGGCTCTGCCTATCTAGAGGCAGAGCCAGCTGTAGCCTCCCCCATCCGTTCCGCCAGTCAGCGCTGGAGGATCGGAGCGGGGAATCCAGCCCCTCCCCTGTCACGGCAGAGAGCTGTGACAGGTTCGAGAAGTGAGCGAACGCCGGTATGTGTTCGCTCACTTCCCGATCTACTGAGCCGACCTGTGACAGTCTCATTGTCACAGGTCGGCTAGAACTATGAGGTGAGTGAAAAGCACCCCCCCCATAGTTCTCCTTTAAATGGACTTTTGCTAATATCTTTTTGGTGTGCTGGTGACATTATTGCTTTTTTTTATTTTTTATTGTGTATCAAGTTCCTGCCGGATCGGCTTCTTTCACACGGGCATTCCCATCGGGTCCGCCCGTCAGTGTTTTAGGCAGATCTAATCCGAAGCCCGATGTTCGTCTATGGACGGCCGGATCTAAACGGAAGTGCGTCCGTTGACATCCGGTTGCCACCAGGTTCGGCGAAACAAACGGATCAGAGTTCCGTTTTGGCAGACCTGATTGGTGCCGGATCGGAGGTGATCTGACGTGTTCGCTTACATCCGGTTCCCCATAGACCGACGTGGGTCCGATAAGTTTGTTTTTTCCTGATGGAGGACAAAACTGGAGGGGACATCCGTTCCAATCAGCAGGGGATCTGTGCATGGGTTCCCTGTGGATCAGAACTGAAGCTGCCTGTGTGAAAGGGGCCATATACTGGAGGAGAGGCGGAAGGTTCCGGGTGGATTGAAGCTGTACTCCCGTATGCCTGTGGTGGTGCGGAGTTCCACCACGGTTGCTGTCGGTGATGGCCATTACCTGGAGAACCGATGACCGGGAGGACGTCACACAAGCATTTTCCAACCTTCCGAAATGCGTCTGATGTTTCCGGTGAATGCAGAATATTATATTTAAAAGTCAGGAAACTATTACTAAGGTTTGGTAGCCCAGCAGGAGGGGGAGGGGGGGGGGGTGGAATGAGCTGCGACTGGACATCAATATCTATGAGCGCCGTGACCACACCAGGGGCCTGGAGGGAGCAGCAAGCCAGTCAGAGGCCAGGAAGACGGCTGAAATCAGCAGGAATATTGTACACAAGGAAGGTGCTGTGAATAAGTCTCTGGGCGCACTGGCGACCCGGCTCCTGAAAATTCTCTGCTGTGCAGAACCTGCAATGAAAGACAAATCACTATGGGAAGAACAGCAAACCTAAAACATGACCCTACTGAACCCCATGGCTGGGCCCCATAAATCTCTACTCTCAGTCTGATCGGTGTCAGTACATACACCCCACTTCCACCGCAAACACAATCTCTAACCAGTGCAGACCACATTGGCCCAGACAGAACCCATTACCCAGAATTCTAAGCACACTTGGAGCTCCTGGTACTTCAAGAAAACCTGTCCTTAGAGAACTATGGGGTATGCCATTGCTGACCTCCACTTCGATTTCCATTCACTTCCTGGCCTGGTGACAACACTGGAAGTGAAGGAAATGTATCAAAAATATTGCCTTCCAACTCTTTACGAAGAAGTCCTTTAACTTCAGTACCCCTGGGGGTCACCTGACCAGAAATTTCCCCTATTGCCAGTGACCTCTGTATCCCTTGGGGTCATATGACCAGACGTTTCTCCAATCAGCGGTGACCTCTGTATCCCTTGGGGTCATATGACCAGAAGTTTCTCCAATCAGCAGCGGCCTCATTAAATGTCATTATGCCACCTGCCGCTTTCTGCAGTTGGCGTCCGCCGTTGCCTGGCCTCAATGGCAGCCAAGTGTCCCAATCAGTAAATGGCGCGACGCCCTTCACAAAACCGCCAGGCTGCCCTCGCAGCGGCTGGTGATCATGCTGCCGATTTCGGTCCAGGTGTCCGTGTGCGGGTTATAAACCTCGACAGCGTCAGAGGTCACGGGGGCGGAGAAGTTGTGGAGGATGGCCCTCCCGCCAGCCGCGTACAGCAGTCCATTCACGCTGATGACAGATACGCCGGTCCGGGGAAACTTCATCGGCGACACTTCCGCCCACAGCTCCTACAGACCGAGAGAATGTAAAACGGCAATAAAAATACAGATCAATAAATGACACACAAAATGTACATTTCCTGGCTGGAGGATGTCCAACATCATCTAGCTTGTTCCTCCCCAGCCTGACAGTCCCTGGCCCGCTCCTTCTAATCATGTAGGACACGTAGGCACAACCTAGATAACGTACAGAATGCTATATTGTTTCTTTAAAGGAGAACTATGGGGTCAGGGCTTTTCCCCCATAGTTCTCCTTAGGGTAACGGGAGGGCACAAACTAGCGTCCTCCCGTCACCCTAGGCTCAGTATATAGGGAGCTACAGCTCGCGGTATACTGAGACGCCGCAGCTGAAGCAGATCCCGACAATTATGTCGGGATACGCCCAGCTGCGTGAGTGACAGCTGGCTCTGCCTATCTAGAGGCAGAGCCAGCTGTACCCGCCCCCTCCCCCGTCCGTTCCGCCAGTCAGCGCTGGCGGATCGGAGCGGGGAGGGGGGAATCCAGCCCCTCCTCTGTCACTGCAGAGAGGCGTGACAGGTTCGCTACTTGGATTTGTCTCAAAAATCATCATTCTTCATGGAAACCCCCCCTGGCGCTAGGTCAGCCATTTTATGATAATCGCATACCTCCTCAAAAGAATATCTCTCCACCGTGTTCAATGCGTCCTGCCTCTCGTTCCAGCCGCCCACCGCATACAAGCAGTCATTCAGACAAGCTATGCCCAGATACGCCCTGCGGGTGCTCATGGGCGGCAGCAAGGTCCAGCGCTTGTAAATTGGGTCATAGGCTTCGGCCGAGGACAGCTCCAGTCCCTCATGACTGATCCCACCAACTATGTAAATCAACCCTAAAAAAGAAAAAGAAAAGAGACATGCCGTTCATGAAGGGACTCAAATGAATGCGCAAAAAGGATTAAAGAGGACCTGTCAGGAGAGGAACAAGGGAGTTGCCGCTGCTCACTTCTGTGTTTAAAGGTGCAAAATCCAGGCCGTTCACCCTAATCCTTCACCTGACAAATTCCTGTCAGCTTGTTGGACATCCCATTCCAAAACCAGGGGTCAGTGGTACTTTAATTGTTTAACATTCTATTCCAATGGCACCAGGAAGGCTCCAATCACATGTTTAGCTCTATAAGATATACTGTATTCGGTCACAGGTCGGCTCAGTAGATCGGGAGGTGAGCGAACACATACCGTTGCTCACTCACTTCACGATCCTGTCCCTGCAGAGAGCGGTGACTGTCACTCACGGCTCCCTGCAGGGATTCCCCCCCTATCCCATCCTCTAGTGCTGACTGGCGGAACGGACGGGGGCGGGTACAGCTGGCTCTGCCTCTAGATAGGCAGAGTCAGCTGTCACTCACACAGCTGGTTGGATCCAGACAGTAATGTCGGGGTCCGTCCCGGCTGCGGTGTCTCAGTATAACGCGAGCTGTAGCTCTCTATATACTGAGCTTAGGGTGACGGGAGGACGCTAGTTTGTGTCCTCCCGTTACCCTTAGGAGAACTATGGGGAAAAGCCTTAACCCCATAGTTCTCCTTTAAGACATAATAATGATACATATGTGGCAGTGTATGGACCATTCCAGATTTCCCCCTCTCATTTTTCAATTTGATACAGTTTTTACTTTCACTCAGTCAGTGGTCATACAGCAGTGACAGGTTCTCTTTATACACACATCCCTCATTCAGCAGTCCTCGGTATTGGTCACCTTGTCTCTCGCAGCAGGCAAAGTTATATCTGGGCACAGACATCTTCCCGACCACCTGCCAGGTATTCTCTTCCGGGGAGAACCGCTCGATGCCGTTTCCGATCTCGGCCCCGACCCAGCCGCCTGCAGGAGAGTGTCAGAGGGGTAAACATTCAGTGCAGGTCACCTCTCCTCCTCAATAAGCACCTCTAGTAGGGGTGTTCAGGTATCAGAATCTGTAGAGGTGTTGTTACTTGGCATTTACATGAGAACTCCCAGGGTCACAGCTGCGAATGGGCCCCGGTGCTCCACCACTGTCCTCCTATCATTGGTCCTTATTGTTTTATAAAAACTGTCACATGACACTAAAGAAAAAGGAATCAGTCATTGGTATCTGTGAGGACAAGTATTAGTACTTCGAAAAAATGTGCCTCAGGTACCGCGTTATCCATGGAATTTTTCTCATCCGCTATGGATGGTTTTGTGTCGCGCATTGAGCGCGCTCTCACGCATAGGCCCCCTAAAAAACGGGTTCTGCCCTTGCCATCCCTGGCATTGTCTGGGGAGTCCGAGGAGGAGGGGGAACTTCCGTCCACGTCACCCCGGACTCCTCACCGCCGGACTAGGGCAGTGAGGATGAATCTGCGTCTGCCTGGCCTCGGAGAGCGTGGTACGCAGACGTGGTTCGACTGCTGGTGGACGCCCCTCTGCGTCCGGATCTTCTGTCCCAGGGGCCTGTGTATAATGAACGGAGAGAAAAGGATTTTACGGTGAGTACAAAAATCCTATTATCCGTGCATCCCTAATACATATATACTGTATATATTTAGGGATGCACCGATACCGTTTTTTGGGTACCGAGTACGGGTACCGACCAGTCAAGATCGATCTACCTGCCATTGAGGTGTGCCCCTCTGATGTGGTGGAGAGAGCTCAGTAGGAGTTTCAGAGATTAGTTTAGGCCCCATTTACACTGAGCGACATGAAAATCGCGCGATTTTGAGCGACATCGCGCAACTTTTTCCTACTGGGATGTATGTAATCAGGAGCAATATCGCTCGAAATCGCTCGAAAAAAGGGTCATGTAGGAGCGACGAGCTACAAGCGATATTGAGCGACGAGATGTGAACAGCTCCATTGAAATGGATTGGAGAAGCTACATAGAGCGATATCGCTGCAAAAATCGCGCGATGAATCGCTCAGTGTGAACGGGGCCTGAGACCCCGTTCACATCGAGCGATTTATCGCGCGGTAATTCCCGCGATATCGCGGCAAATTACCGCGCGATATCGCGCTCCAATGCAATCCAATGGGGCAAAGGGTCCTGCTGTCGCGGGTCGTGTGTCGCTACAGCTGGACCCTTTTTGGAGCGGATTTAGCCGCGATTCAAGCTTGCTCAATGCAAGCTTGAACGCGACATCACGCGGCAAATCACGCGATGTCGCGCAATATGCAAATCGCGCGATTTGCATATCGCGCAGTGGGAACGGGCCCTGCGAGTAACACAGAAATGGAAGGACGAGTGACCAGGAGTCAGAGGTCAGACAGCCGTCCTGGCGCACTGTAGGAAACATGGCTCACCCATGGCATAGATGGCTCCGTGGCAGGAACAGACCCCCAGGCCACAGCGCGGCTGGTTCATGGAGGGGGCGGCAGTCCACTGCTTGGTGATGGGATCATAGCACTCCACACAGTCAAATATCATGGAGTCCTTTTCCCCTGAGAAGGAAACGTCTGTTAGATTTATAGGTGACATCTCCTGGGATGGAGACACGGATCCTTCACGTTTTAATTGAATAAGAACACATTTCTTTAAATGTAACACTTTGTATACAGCAAAAGATCTGAGAGCAACAAGTATAGAAACAAAACACACGGCGACTAAGCCCTTGTCCACACCTGAACGTTTTGTAGCGCTCAAAAATATAAATCCCATTGTATTCAATGGTCTCGTTCCCACCTTGGCGTATTTCCGCCCGTCCCTAACGCGCTATGAAACGGCCCACGCCTGAAAAGGTACATGAACTACTTTGGGCCGTTTTGTTTCGCGTTTCCATTGGGATACAGCCAAGTAGCCTTCGGAAACGCACGACTTTTTTACCGCGAATCGCCTAGGTGTGAACGAGACCTTACGGTACAAGACAATGAGAAAGAGCGTCCACTGATCTGCTGGTCACAAATTCAGAGTGTAAAACACTTCTCAGCATCGTAAGATACATTGAGGGGAATGTATCAATACTGGAGCAGACAGAATGTGGAACAGTTGCCCACGGCAACCAATCAGCATCCACCTTTCATTTTCAAACCTTAACTGAACAAACTGATGAGAGAAGGTGATTGGTTGCCATAGGCAGCTGCTCCAGTTTTGATAAATCCCCCCCCCCCGGTAAAAAAAAATAGTATTACAATTGTAATTGAGAGCAGAACATTCAATAAAACATTGGGGGGAATTGATCAAAACTGACAAAATCTGGAGCAGACGTGCACGGCAACCAATCAGCTCCTCTGTCTCAGTTTCAAATCATACCTGAGCAAAGTGAAGAGAGAAGCTGATAGGTTGCCGTGGGCAACTGCTCCAGTTTTGATAAACTCCCCTCATTGTATTCATGGTTAAAGGATATCCTAAATTTCCATTCTGTTCATAACTAGAGTGGGGAAGGGGAGAGAGTGGGGAAATGGATGGGGAGGGGGGTAATTTAGCCACGCAGGACAGATCTTCTTAAACTTTTCAGTGCTACCCCTACGGCTATAGGTGAGGCTTTGCAGGTGTAGGATAGAGTTCACCTTATCTATCCAGATGCTTGAGGTTGGGGACAGAGCCAATGCTGAGCTACAGTGCTCCTGGCCAGGTCGAGGTTCTGATTGCTGCTATGTCTAAGTGAGAGCCATGAAAGAGGAGTTCTAAGATTCCCAGCAGACCCATCGCAGATCATTTAGATCAGCGGTTCTCAACCTGTGTAACCTCCGGACCCACATTTGTCCTCGGTCATTAAGTCACGACCCAAGTCACACTGCAACGGAACACACGGCATTAGGGTACCGCGCGTTCCGGTGCGGGTGTACGAACTGTGGGAGGGAGGTGTGTTTGGGGTACCATTTAAATTAATGGCAGCGCAAAACACCTCCCACACCAGAATGCACGGTAGTATACGATTAACGCACTGTACTACCGTGTTTCCCCGAAAATAAGACACTGTCTTATATTTTTTTTGGCTCAAAAAAACACACTAGGTCTTATTTTCGGGGTAGGTCTTATTTTTTTATGTACAACAATCCACACCTATTGGGGGGGGGGGGGGGGGGGGCTGCTGTGCTGTGACGGAGCTCCATCCATACGTGCATTGCTTGTACAGCTTCCTTGCGCGCCTTGTAGAGGCGCCGGGAGCCAGATTCTGACGTCACTCCGGTCCTGGCACCTCTACAGGACATGCGAGGCAGCTGTAAGCGATGCACTTATAGATGGAGCTCCCTCGCGGCTATACTACCAGCCCGCCCCACCTCAAGCCGACACTCGACACCGGACAGCATTTTTCGAATGGCTACTTGGCGCAAGAGCTGACAGCGCTGTGATAGGGGGAGGCAGAGGAGCCTCTCACCTAGAAAAGTGGACGGCATGTGGCGACCCACTAAACATGGGGTCGCGACCCACCCGTTGAGAACCGAGGCTTTAGATGGAGGGGGGAAAAAGGATCACCCACTTTTCCAGCACGAATTGCGATAACGAGGGTCACGGGATTGGGGTGGGACTGGGCCCCCTATGACCAGCCTAGAAATGTCCACGTCACTCATCCAAGGTCCTATTTTATTTTTTGCCTGGTACCTCCAACCACGTAGATCCTCCCCTCCAGAACCGCGGCGCACATTCCGCTGCGGGCTTGATGCAGAGACGACACGGTGCTCCAGTACTGGCTGAAGGTGTCAAAGCGTTCCACGCAGCTCAGCGCTCGGCTGTCACTCCAGCGCCCTCCCTGCAAGCGAGTGTACCCCCCTGTGTGTGAGAGAACAGGCAAGCACTGCAATCATATTCACAGTCTGCTTATCAATATTAGTACCCTTATAAAAGACACAAACTGGCAGCGTGTATGCAGCAAGCCTAGAACAGGCCAATACCCAAATATTGCCAGCCTTGCCGGGACGGAGAAAGATAAACAGGAGGGCCCGAAATGTAAGTTCCCCTGGAGAAAATGCTGCTTAAAAGGAGAACTACGGGGTCAGGGCTTTTCCCCATAGTTCTCCTTAGGGTAACGGGAGGACACAAACTAGCGTCCTCCCGTCACCCTAAGCTCAGTATATAGGGAGCTGCAGCTCGCGGTATACTGAGGCGCAGCAGATGAAACGGATCCCGACAATTATGTCTGGATCCGCCCAGCTGCGTGACTGACAGCTGGCTCTGCCTATCTAGAGGCAGAGCCAGCTGTACCCGCCCCCTCCCCTGTCTGTCCCGCCAGTCAGCGCTGGAGGATCGGAGCGGGGAGAGGGGAATCCAGCCGTGACAGGATCGAGAGGTGAGCGAACGCCGGTTTGTGTTCTCTCACCTCCCGATCTACTGAGCCGACCTGTGACAGTCTCATTGTCACAGGTCGGCTAGAACTATGAGGTGAGTGAAAAGCCCCTCCCCCCCTCATAGTTCTCCTTTAATGCTCCCTCCAGTGCTGCTCACATAAGCAAAAGTCTATGTATTAGGACATGTGACCTCTGTGGGTGGGGAAGGTCAGAATTCAGGTTGTCAAATCTTCAGCCTTCAGCATGGATCAAGCATGGGCATGCAACCAGTAGCTTAGGTATGTGATCGTGTCATCAACACTAAGGGGAGCCAGCAGCAGCATTTTCTCCAGAGAAGGGCAAGTATCTCATCCGGTTACTTTTTATTTTTTTTTATCCCAGTGAGACTGCGAACATCACAAACATCATTGATAATGACACAACAATCATTGCAGCACAGGGTACCCTAAAGAACCGTCAGTGCTCCAGATAATGAATGTGAACGATGGCGTTTTACTATGTCCTCAGCGCAGTATTCATCGTCTCTTACCGATTGCGTAGAGGAATTTGCGCGCTTTCCTCCGAGGCCACACGCGGGCCGGCTGCAGGAAGTTGCAGAGTTTGCGGTCCTTGGGGGACTGGCCGGGCTCACAGTATTCCCTCAGCAGCGTCTGCAGCGCCACCCGCAGGCTGAAGTCTGTTACTTCTGGAAAGATGAACACAGAATACAGGACTCTGGACAGCAACTCAACAGCACGAGGTTGTAACCACCCGACATCAAGAGACACACACGGGCTGCACGCAGCTCTTATTGCTTACAAACGTATACTGTAAGCCGCAACAAGCTTTATTGCTAACAGATGTTACATATGACTCCGCCTCTGACACCTTTCACCCAATCGGCTTGATAATAGAAGGTGGGTAAATCAAGAGGGGTAGAAATTCGGGATGCACCGATACCGGTACTAGTATCGGTGCCGATGCCAAGTATTTGGGCGAGTACTCGTAGGGAGGGTATCTGGAAAGGGAGGGTCTCTGGAAAGGGAGGGTCTCTAGGAAAGGGAGGGTCTCTAGGAAAGGGAGGGTCTCTAGGAAAGGGAGGGTCTCGAGGAAAGGGAGGGTCTCGAGGAAAGGGAGGGTCTCGAGGAATCGGAGGGTCTCGAGGAATCGGAGGGTCTCGAGGAATCGGAGGGTCTCGAGGAATCGGAGGGTCTCGAGGAATCGGAGGGTCTCGAGGAATCGGAGGGTCTCGAGGAATCGGAGGGTCTCGAGGAATCGGAGGGTCTCGATGGGAGGTGTTGTAGGAAAGGGGGGGTCTCTGGAAAGGGAGGGTCTCTAGGAAAGGGAGGGTCTCTAGGAAAGGGAGGGTCTCTGGAATGGGAGGGTCTCTGGAAAGGGAGGGTCTCTGGAAAGGGGCGGTCTCTGGAGAGGGAGGGGCTCTGGAATGGGCTCTGGAAAGGGAGGGTTTCTAGGAAAGGGAGGGGCTCTGGAATGGGAGGGGCTCTGGAATGGGAGGGGCTCTGGAAACGTCTGTGTAACATGTAGAACTATAAGAAAACTGATGTGAAGATTTGTCACTTCTTTACCTTCAATGTCCTTCTGCAGTCTCTGAGGAGGAAGCAGAGGGAACCTCACCGGTTCCAGGACCTCCACCACGTGTCTCTTGCGCGTCGCCGTGTCCCTCTGCAGCCACGCCATGGCGGCGCCAAACACCTGGTGCTCGTCCTCGATGCAGAGCTCCTCGCTGCGCAGGATGCGGGTCAGCTGATCTTTGGTGAGGTTCAGGAACTCGTCCCCTTGTTTGGCCTCCGGGAAGTGAGCGTGGATGTAGCTCTCCGTGAACTCCAGCAGAGGCTGACAGGACAGCTGCTCCGAGAACTGGAAAAAGCCCACGCAATTGCCCGGCTCGATCTGCTCCTTTAAGAAGTCGCAGCACAGCGCCACCAGGTCGTTCAGCTGCAGCATGTCGGCCGCAACCATCAGCCCCTGCACGTTCTCTGCGCTGATATGAACCGAACCTGGAGGGAAAAACAGGCAGCGATATTCCCAATTTATTCATCCAGTCCTGAGATGCACACAGCTCTGCCACACAGCACATCCAGTCTGGTGCAGAAACTGTTTTTGTGGTTGTCACACACACAGTCCGGCCTCTTACCTGTGTATATAAAATCCAGCAGCAGCTGGAAGCTGTCGGGTTCCACTTCCTGTATCTGCACCACGTCATCGGAGGACTCCTTTAACCCACTGGACAGTAAAGCCGAGAAGTACGGACTGCTGGCCGCCAACACCAACTTGTGTACAGAGAAGACGACGAGGCCGACTTGTATCCGGAGGTCACAGAACTCCCGCTGCTGCCTCATCTTGTTCATCTGCTGGAGGATGAGCTGCGCGTGTTTACTGACCGAGCGCGGCGAGCTGCCGGGTGGGGCTGCCCTCGCCGGATCCATTGCGGAGCGCGGGGAGGACCTGTGAGGGGGAATCACACCGATTACTGCCGGGAGGATCCGTTCAAGGAGAAGATATTCTATGACATGTCAGATGGAAGACTGAAGGGGAGGACGGAGGTCAGATGGAAGACTGAAGGGGAGGACGGAGGTCGGATGGAAGACTGAAGGGGAGGACGGAGGTCAGATAGAAGACTGAAGGGAAGGCCGGATGGTGATGTGTGGGTTCAGATTTCAAATGGGATAACTGTAGATAACCCAGAAAGGGCCCCACAAGATAACATTTTGGGGCCCCCCATGCATCAGTGGGAATGATTAGGGTATCATGAAGAACGGCTCCCACTTATCACCTGACCTAGAAGTGAGGTCCAGGTCTAGGTGATGGGGGTGGGAAGGGGGGCTGCATCTCTTGCAACTGGACCCCCTAAATCTGGAGGCCCTTTGTGGGCCCCTGTGCAAGTGCACTGTCTATACAAATGGGGCCCCTGGACCCCCAGCCCAGCATGTGATCACACAACATCTAATGACTGGCGGATCTTTTGAAATGGAAGTGAAAACGTAATTTTTATTGGCTTTGTGTCCCCACTGGGGGAATATTCTCTCATTTCCTGTCCCATGCACAGCAAAGGGAAATCCCCCATCCCCCCAGGACAGGACACAGACGGCAATATAAAATATTGGACGTTCTACCAGGCTCCATCTAAACCTAACTTTGGAAAGAACTGTCTGGATGCACAATGTGCAACAACGAGCTCTGCGTGTTATATATTCCCCTCACCTCACTAACAGGGGCCCCTCCGGGCCCTACACGCAGCCCCGCCTCCCTCTATAATTCTATAGCATCCCCTCTATACTTGTCTAGCATCAGCTAAGATTTACCTTCAGTCTCCGCTGCCAGCTGGCGTGACGTCACCTCCCTCCTGGAGCGGAAGTCGGAAGTTGGGGCGCACTGGCGGCCATATTGGAGGTGGCAGGAAGATTGTTGGAGGTTCTCTGTATCACCACGTGGGAGGTAGGGAAGTGTCAGGGTGAGGGAAGGGGGTGCAGGACACTGACTATTCCTTTATTATTATTGTATTAATTCTGTATTCAGTTTGTATAGCATACATGTCACCTATACAGAGAGTGATGCACACAGCACCATCTGTACACAGCTCTCCCCATCATCACTGCTCAAGGCTGATCTCTGTGTATCTCTGCAGATAACAATAATAAGTTATTATTTTATTATCATACACAGGTATATTCTACTCAACAGTCACTCAGGAATATACAATATATCCTATTATCATTGATGCATATTCACACTGTGTCACATTTTAAAGTGCATATCCAACCCAACCAAAACGTTTTATTTATGGCTTTGGATGGGGTGGGGATTGGGGCAAGAGCCCCTGCCAGTTGTTTTTTTTACTGCTATTTGTGGCCCCATTGAGGAGATGTGCTCTCACTTCCTGTTGCAATGACAAAATTGTCCCAGAACGGGACATGATGTGATGTCTCCAGCGGGGACAGATGATGCGAAAACTAGAAACCCCCCC